ACTCCCTCACAAGGCCCCTCCCCCACCCCCTACCAAAATGTTGTTTCCACTGAACTTTGTTGCACTATTCCGTAGAAGTTAGACCCACGAATATCAACATTTATCAATATCATCTCCAATTAACCCGATATAAATATATATATTTTTCTGTTAACAGATGTGTCATAATCATTTTTGAAAAAAATCATTTTTTTAAAATAATAATGACTTCATTTTGGGAAAATTTTTAAATTAAATTGATTTGGAGTCTCCATTAATCTTTGGATTAGGTAGGTCGAACACCTAAAAACGTCTTTTAAACAATTTTAAGAAAAAACATTTTTAAGACAGAAAACTGGTCTGCGTTTGTCAAAGATTCATTTTAGGTTCGGGAGTCGATTACACGTGGGGAATGATTAGCACCCTCACAACACCAAAAAATTTGTACTTAGTCGCTTATATGTTGTCTTAATAGTGGAAATTGAGAATTAGAGAAACAAATAAATAATATTAATAACATTGACTAAAATTAAACCCAATATAAATAACAAGGTCTAAACATATAAATAAATTAAACTGGATTTAAACATTGACTAAAATTGCATACAAGGCTAGTCTTAAGGACCTGGAGTGTAAATAATCATTTCACATGCAACATAACTAAGGACTAAATTGAAATGTAATCTAAATTAGCAGGCATACAAGGACATTGAACCTAGAAGCAATAGTAAACAAAACAATGACTAAAATATAAAATTCGTAAATATTATACCCAAAGTCAAATATCAATAAAAATAGGAAAATAACATGACCATGATTAAAATGTAAATACAACAAAGTAAGTGCTCAAAACAAAATGATTTAGAATCTTCTCCGTGGATCGAAATACAAGAATAGAAAAATTTAAAACTCGAAATTTGAACTTGAAACTTGAATTAAGTGACTAGAATGGAACTTTTACAAAACCTCGAGGACACACTAAGGGTTTACCCAGTCGCTTAACGCACGTCTATTCCCCTCCCCCAAACGACATCGTTTGATGCCTTGAACATAAGGCCAAAATACAGGCCAAAAATCGGCCTAAACTCCCCATTTGTCTCATTTCTTTTTTTTGGCCTAAAGGGAGAGAGCCAAAAGCTCTCAACTCCCTCTTTTCTCTCATGTCCTCCGCCGAGGGAGGAAATCGAAACTCCCCAGTCACCGTAAATTAGTGGCCACGAAAAGTGAAAAATGCCTCAAAAACCTTACCTCTTTCCTCTTTTCTCTTACTCTATTCTTTTTATCCTTGAAAACTCAACCTTTCGGGTGCCCAAGAGCTAAAACTAACCCCTCTAATCCAAACCACTAAAACTAAAATTGCAACATCCCGAAATCTGGGTCAGTGACTAAAATGAGAATTTTTGAAATTTGGGGATAAAAGTAAAATAGTTTAATAGTTTAATGACTTATTGGAAATATAGTCGAAGGTTGTTTGGTAATTATTGAATGAATTAAAGGGCAAATTGGTCATTTGATAAGAAATATATTTTTCCCCTTTTATAAGAATGAATCACGTGGGGGAAAATAAAGAGTTATCTGGAAACTCTCTTCTTTATCTTCTTCCTCCCGTATCTCCAAGCTCAAAGGTAAGTTTATGATTTCTTGATTATTTGTTGATTTAGAGGTTGGGTTATGATCACTAGATGATAATTAAGCTTAAGGAAAGCTTAATTTGTTCTTAAACAACAAGATGAAATATATATGAGAGATTAAAGATTTTGAGTTCTTGAATGAAATCTTGGAATAGAGTTCATTACTCATATTGGAAGACAAATTTGACTTGTCATCAACTTAATTAAGGGATATGAAGTGATGGAATTGAATTTAGAACAAGTAGAAAATTTAGTATGATTCTTGGATTTCATATGGAAGATAGAATTTTGAGTTTAAAGAAGTGATTATGGAGTAGAAATGAGTTTAAGTATGTATATGAAAGTTAGGAATATTAAAGGAGGTGAAAGATGAAGAGTTAAGCCGAAAGAGAGTGAATTCGTGCGTAAAATGTAAATTATGGGTTGTGTGCATCGATGCACTCTCAAATATTGAACATCGAATGCCAATAGTGCATCGATGCATAAGGAGTGCATCAATGCACCCGTTTAAAATACAAACATCGAATGGGATTTGTGTACCGATGCACCGGTAGTGCATCGATGCACCCGTTAAGGAATGCATCGATACACGGTATAGTGCATCGATGCATGCCTTCATTAAAAGATAAAATTAGCTTTTCTCTTAGTCTAAGCAGTGATAGATTATATTATATCGATTGTATACTGATAGTATAAATATATGATTGTGTAGATATCGATCGAGAGAAAGTTCCGAAATAATTAAAAGATTAGAATTGATCCAGAAGAGAAAGAAAGCCATAGGAGTAATTGATAGCAAGTGAGGCCAAGGTGGGTGCATATTAGTTAGTTTATGGTGATAAATGGAAACAAGATTTGTGACAAGTCTATTTCCTATGTTAGAATGCATGAATATATGATTATACGTATATGAATGACATGAATTGTATGTATGTTTGATTATATGGGTTAACATGCTTTTGAATGTAATGATATGAGAAGTATGTGCTATATGATGTATATATATGAACATATGGGAAACTGAACTGTATGACTGCATGAGAAAGATATGAGCCATATGACATGTTATATGTGAACATGAGAAAACAAAGTATAAGATATGAGCTATGTGATCCTATGAAAATATGAAAAGAAGTTATGTGACTACATGTATATGTGAAAGAAACTATGAGCTTATATGACATGTGAAATGATAAAGTGAAAATGGCCATGTTATATGATACGAGAGCTATATGTATAGTTGGCATGCCAAGAGTTGAGGGTCTACGCGGTCCTTCGGGACATACAGTGATCTTTCAGGATATTTCATAGGTCCTTCGGGACAAAATCTCATAGCCTCTAGTGGGACCCCTTACGAGCTGTGGTGACAGCATAGTGCATAACCTCCATAGACTCACATATCTACAGTTCTCAGAAATGTAAATGGGCTAGACAAAGATATAACAATAAATATATATGTGAAGAATATGCTTTTGTGATATATGTTGATATGTGTATTGCACGAGTCATATGATGATATGTGTATTGTTTGGTTACACGAAGCATATGTTGGTTAAAAAGGTTAGGTTCAAGAGGGTATGATCAACACATATAAATGAAAATAATATGGATAGTGAAATAATATTAATGGAAGTAAATGATGAGTGTATGTTTCTATGTATATTTGATTATACGTAATGTTATATTGTTTTGTGTGATAGCATAGTATGATATGTTCATGCATGGTTAAGAAGTTAGAGTTTCTCTTATAAGTTTAATGCCTCACTAAGTCATAGACTTAGCGTGTGAGTGTTTCACACGTAGGTTCTGGAAAGCAAAGTGAGAAGCTAAGAGGAGCAAGACAGGTCAGCATTTTCCTTACAAAGTTTCATATCAGAGAATAGATGATTTAAATGTGTTTGGTTAATCTGAATATAGTTGGCATGTACTAATTGATTGAGTTGAATATGCTTTGATCGATTTTGGTTATTTTGGTCAATTTATGTAAATAAATAGCTTTTATTTTAATGAAAGTTTTAAATTTTCTTGATTTTTCGTCAATAGTCAAAGTTTGAAAAGTCAATGTGACACCTCGGACTCATATCCGGGTTGGGTACGGGTTGAGGGTGTTACAAAAATCCCCACTTTAAAGGGGAAAAAAACATAACTTTTCACCTTCAGTGGTGTATTTTCTCGCCTACGATGAAGCCTAACGATCTCGGATATTGCTAACAGGTAAATTTTCCTCCTTTTTTCTTTTGGGTTTTCTTTTCTTTCGATTTTTCCTCTCTACTGATCCCCCTTCCCCAAAAATATTGCTTGCCTATGATTTATTGTTGCCTTGGATGGAAATCATGAAAGCTAGTTGGTAAGGAAATGATTTTCCCGGATTTATCAAGATTTAATGTAATTTTTTATTGTGTTTTTAAAATTTGGCAAATTTTGACTGATTTGGTGTGTTTTGTCACAGTTTCACTGGATTTGCTGACGACTACGGCTCGGGGAGTCCTCGAAGGTGGCTCACGCGACGGGATGTTGAAGGATCGGAGCGTGCATCTCACACGCCAATTGGATTATCCATTTTGCTGGTGGCGGCGGCTACGTTGGTGTCTTAGGGTTTACCCTAATTTGCATCTCTGATCTGGACCGTTGGATGGGTCCATATCGTGTGGCTTAAAGGAGGCGGCGCTGGAAAGAGTTACAAAACACTAGATGCAGATGCGTGTGGGCTGTTGGATCTAGATAAGATCCAACGGTTGGAGATGGTCAATGCCTAGGCTAAAGAGAAGAACCCTAACCGAGTTTGGGCTCCAAATGGGTTTCAATTCGGTTGGGCTTGTTTAGCTTGGTCATCCGGTGAGCTGATTGTATTTTGTAACTTAGGCTTGTAAGCCTTGGTCTGTAAAAAATAATAAAAAATATTATTAATAAAACAATAATAATAATAATAATAATAAATAATTAAAACTTAGACAAAAACTAATATCTACGAGATGAATTTTAAAATATAAAAACGAAAAATTTAAGAGACAAATGTCCCACTTGTCCCTCGATCCGTATCTGATTACACCTGATGAGTGTGTTAAAATTATCCCAATAAACAAATAAGAAGCAGCACATCCCTGTGCTTTGGGGACTTCAAGTTCAAGCTTGGTCGCAATTCTCAAAGCTGTATGGCATATATATATATATATATATATAAACCTCTATTCTCTTGCTCTGCTTATTAGCACCCACTTTCCCCAAAACTCAAAAACACATGCTCTCCCATTTCCCCCACCATCATCACTTCCACCAAGCATACCTCCTTCTTCCTTTCTCAATTAGGCTTCAACTTGTTTTCCTTCTTTTTTTCTAGTTTTGAAGCTGGTTCTTGATCTGCTTGATTCAGTTTTCAACTTATAGCTTGCCAAAGATGATCACGTTAGCAGACTTTTACCATGTGATGACTGCTATGGTGCCACTTTACGTGGCCATGATTTTAGCTTACGGTTCAGTGAAATGGTGGAACATCTTCTCCCCCGGTCAGTGTTCGGGGATTAATCGCTTCGTCGCTCTCTTTGCCGTCCCTCTCCTCTCTTTCCACTTCATCGCCTCTAACGACCCTTATGCTATGAACTTCCGTTTCATAGCTGCTGATACCCTACAAAAGGTCATAGTCCTTGCGATTCTTGCGGTTTGGTGTAAGGTGAGCAGAAGGGGTTGCTTGGAATGGACAATCACCCTCTTTTCACTCTCTACTCTTCCAAACACTTTGGTAATGGGCATCCCTTTGCTTAAAGGGATGTATGGGGAATTCTCGGGAAGCTTGATGGTTCAAATAGTTGTCCTACAATGCATTATTTGGTACACTTTGATGCTTTTCATGTTTGAATATAGAGGTGCCACGATGCTCATATCTGAGCAATTCCCCGACACTGCTGGCACTATTGTTTCAATCCACGTAGACTCGGACATCATGTCACTTGATGGTCGACAACCTCTGGAAACTGAAGCTGAGATCAAAGAAGACGGAAAGCTCCATGTTACTGTCAGGAAATCTAATGCCTCAAGATCAGATATTTTCTCCAGACGCTCCCAAGGTTTCTCTTCAACAACTCCACGCCCTTCGAATCTAACCAATGCCGAGATCTATTCTTTGCAATCATCGAGAAACCCAACACCAAGAGGCTCGAGCTTTAATCACACTGATTTCTACTCCATGATGATGACCGGTGGACGCAACTCGAATTTCGGTGCTGCTGATGTTTACGGTTTGTCTGCCTCTAAAGGACCAACTCCGAGACCATCCAATTACGAGGAGGATGGTGCTGGAGCTCGTGCTGGTTCTGGCACCGGTAAACCGAGGTTCCAGTACCACGCACCAGGCGGTCCCGGTGCAGCCCATTACCCGGCTCCTAATACGGGTATGTTCTCATCGACTGGATCTAAAGCAAAGAAGCCTAATGATCAAGCTCAACAAAAGGCTGAAGATGGTGGTAGGGATCTTCATATGTTTGTTTGGAGTTCAAGTGCTTCTCCTGTATCCGATGTCTTTGGTGGTAATGGCCATGAATATGGAGCACCGGACCAGAAAGAGGTTAGAGCAGCTGTCTCCCCAGGGAAAGGTAGCTTTACAGTACATTTTTGTTCCATTTTTTTTTCCATTTTAGATTAATGATTAGTACTATAACTTTCCACACTGCTTTGTTTCGTCGTTCCAGATGAAGTACATATGGAGAATCGTGAAGAGTACATGGAAAGAGAAGATTTCAGCTTTGGGAATCGAGGATTGGAACAAGAAATGAACAACCATCCCAAAGTGGGGGATGACACCGGCAACGGCAAGCCCAAAACCATGCCACCACCAAGCGTCATCACAAGGCTGATACTGATCATGGTTTGGAGAAAGCTTATCAGAAACCCCAACACTTATTCAAGCTTAATAGGACTCACTTGGTCACTAATCTCATTCAGGTACAAATACAACACTCTGTTTGTTTGGCATCAGAGCTCTCATCATTTATAGATTGCTGGTTTCTTTGCAGGTGGAATGTACAAATGCCTGCCATAATAGCCAAGTCCATTTCCATTCTGTCAGATGCAGGGCTTGGCATGGCCATGTTCAGTCTTGGTCAGTGAATTTCTTTACTTTTTCTTCTTCTTTACTTACAACAAATCTTATAATGAATCGCTTCATCATTATTAAATGTTGTAATAAAGCAAGCAAAACTGCGTAAGCAAAGTAAGCCAAACAGTGTATGGTCATCATGATAATAATAATAAGCTGGGGGTTTCTCTTTATATTTCCTAGAGTTCTTATACTGTTGGGCGGTGGAAATGATGATGAAAGATGTTAAAAATGTTTTTTTATCTAATGATATAAAATTTAGGGTAAAATATATATTTAATTGTCTAATTATTCTTATGATCATGTTTTGATTATATAATTATTTTTTCCAAAACGTATAATGTCAAAATTAATCATCAATTTTTATCAAAGTTGTCATTTTTTATTTCAATTTTTAAGCATTTTGGCTCTAAATCTTTATTTTAGAGTAAAAGGGCTCTGATATTTGACTCAATAGTTATTTTTATCTTTATTTTTTTAGTATTTTAACTCTAAAATTTTTATTTTAAGTCTCTTATTTTAGAACGTTAATTTAATTAACTTTTTCATATGTAGAGTGACTTTTTTCCTTAAAATAAAATATTGAAGGCCAAATACTCCAAAAAAAAATAGAAACTAAAATGATTATTTTGATAAACATTAGGGGGCTAATTTTGACATCATGTCTTTTTAAATTACGTTTTTGTTTAGTATTGATCACATTCCATTTAAAATAAATAAAACTATTGACATAAAATTTTTATATTTTTTTAATGGTAATGACTAAAATGGAGTAAAAATAAAAATTTAAATATAATTAAAAAAACTAATTAAATAATCAAAACGTAACTACTAAAATAGATATGTATCTTCTAAACATATTATTAACTGACCCTATTCCCATATGTAATGGGATAAGGAGAGGTATGATAGTAGGTTGTCCCCAACGCTAGGTTGAGATCAACTTCCGTGGGAGACCTTCAGCGATTAAAATTATGAATTGTCTATCGTGGGACTCGATCCTACGATCGTAAGATTAAGAGCCTTGCACTTTTATCAACTGAGCTAGACAATTCATGTATCTAAACACATTGTTTACCAAAGAAATTAATATTGGATTCCGGGAACAAGTGTGAGGCTAATGGGCATGGCATGATGCGGTGACAGGTCTGTTCATGGCATTGCAACCAAGGATCATAGCATGTGGGAATTCCGTTGCAGCTTTTGCCATGGGTGTTAGATTCCTTGCAGGACCAGCAGTGATGGCAGCAGCTTCCATGGCTGTTGGACTACGTGGCGTCCTCTTACACGTTGCCATAGTACAGGTCATTTGGCTTTTGTCTTCATCTTTTACCGTCGTTATTTGCACACATAGCAATCTTCAGATAAGATTTTTAAATCTCTGCTACATATTTCAGAAAACCAAAAAATCTCTTATACATTGAAACTGCATGGAAGTAGTAAACAAGTGAATAAAATAAAACATTGAAAAGATTTGCTTCTGATACACTCTTAGATCTATACAGTCAAAAGGATATCATATGTTTTTGGATAAAGTACACAAATGGTCCCCTAACTGTATGATACTATTTATTGAGTTTTTTTACTATTAAAAGTTATAAAATAGTCACTCACTATTCATTTTGTTCCAAACTAGTCATTTTCCATTAAAAAATTAACGACAGTCTGAGCTGGACATTAATTTGCTGATTGAGATATGATAAAATTTGATCACATAATCTCAAACGAGTATCATATCTTAGTCAGCATGTTAACACCAACTCAGATGGCCTTTAATTATTTAACGAAAAATGGTGAGTTTGGAACATAACGAATAGTCAGGTGACTATTTTGTAACTTTTAATAGTTGAGGGACTCAACAAAATAACTCTCTATATTCGATGACCATTTTGTAATTTTTAATGAAAGACTCAACAAAACAATATTATATTATCAGGGGACCATTTTTGTACTTTTACCCTATTTTTTATACAAAAACCATACAGTATAAATTTAATTTAATTAGGGTTATTAAAGAAGAACAAACATCCCTACAAAATCTAACATGTCTTTTATTAATTTATTTTCGTTTGCATGCATTTGGGGTTTCCAAATTCTAAACAAATGAAAACAGGCAGCTCTCCCACAAGGAATTGTCCCCTTTGTCTTTGCCAAGGAATACAACGTACACCCCGATATTCTCAGCACAGCGTGAGTCTTTCCTACACATTTATTTTATGGCTAAACTTCACGTTTAGCAACCCACCTATTATTTTTGTTCCGTTTTAGTTATCCAACTATTTTTTGTTTTAAAATCGGACCTAACATTTTGTTTTGGTTTCCTTTTGGTTATCCGTCGTTAAAAAATTAACAGTGATGATGATGTGTCACCATAAGATAATGACACATCATCATTGTAAAAAAAAAATCATATCAACAATTTTATTAATTTTTTAGCAGTGGGTGACCAAAATGAAATCAAAACTAAATATTAGATATGATTTTTGAACAAAACTAATGGGGTGACCAAAACCGAACAAACGTGATAATTGGGTACTAAACTTGTAGTTTAACTTTATTTTATTTATTTAATTTTATATTAGTTTTACTTCTACTCTCATTAATATATTTGTTCCTTTTTATTTTTTATTTTGTTGAATTGCAGTGTTATTTTTGGGATGCTAATAGCATTGCCCATAACGCTAGTGTACTACATTTTATTGGGACTATGAAGTAGCCAGCACTAACCTAATATATCAACATTTTAATTATTGTTTTTTTCCTTTTTATTTTTTCGTAGTAAAGTTTGTAAAATCTTATTTTGTAGTCAAATTATGAAGAAAAAGAATCTAGTTTGTTATCATTTAAAGTTGTCATTTCTATTCCAAGAATTCGTGCTCTCTCATGCATAATAAATAAATAAAATTAAACGATCAAAATCGAATTAACACTTTTAAAAAATAAATTAAATTTTAATAATATATTGATTCAAAAATCACTTTTGTTTTTTATAAAATTCATCATTCTTTGATAGAATTTTTTGAACCGCACAAAGTTTGTTTGAATTCAAGAAAGTATTTGCATAAAATCTGATGGGTTTTAGATTGGACCGACCTGATACTAATAAAAATAGTATCTCTTGTTTCTTAAAACAAAGCAGAACTGAGAAAATCAAGTAAGCTAAGGTTTTTTTTTTAGAATTTCATTTGATTTCTCATATTTTAAGTAGTGATTTGTATAATTATGTAGATTTAAGTGTTGTTTATAGAAATAGTTTTTTTTAATTAATCTGAGGTAAGTAGGGCTGTAAATGAGACGAAACAGATCGCGAGCTACCCGAGATCGACTCGATCAAAGTTCGGTCAATACTCGAATCGAATAGACTCGAACCAAATTCTTAACGAGTCAAAGAGAGCTACTTGATATTCGGCTCGAAAAGTTCTCGAGCTACTTGGAAAAAATAATATATTAAGATTATAGATTTTTTAAATTAAATTAATAATAATATTACCATTTGTATGTTATTTTTTTAAAAAAAATATTACATAAGACTTTCATGTATTTAAGGTTTGGGTTCGAAGTTGAGTTAAGCTTCAATTTTTTGATTTCGAGTGAAACTTGAAAATTTTAAGCCAACGAGCTTTCGAGCCGAGTCAAGCTTCAATTCTTTACTTCGAGTTGAGCTTGAAAATTTTAAACTCTCGAGTTTTCGAGACAAGTTGAACTCGATTTTACATTTTTTGAATCGAGTCGAACTCCACACTACTCGAGTTCGACTCAACTCATTTACAGCCCAATTCAAGACTATCTCGTAGATTATTTATGAACATTCGACATGTAAGTACGTGCAAATCGCTCCTAAATCTTATGTAACAATACTAAGAAATCGTAAAACTTATTTAAGGTCAAAACGTGCAGTATCAAGGTTGGAAATCATGTTTATTAGGCTCTGAAATCAGGTATGCAAGTCATGTAAATTATACTTTAAAAATATGACATAAATGTAACGCATCGACCTTATAATTCATCATTGTTTGTTATATTGGTTTGCATTGAAAATTAAGAAACTAACCAACAAAGTATAAATGGGTTTCATTATGTCTCCCCTGTAGTCTTCGTAGAGGAAGAGCCCTTGTCATAAACTGGTCGACCCAAACATATAGATCGTATATACAAAACAAAATGACCGCCGTATATATCGTGTATTTGAAATTCTAGTGGCATGAAATTATATCCAAAGGTTCCAAGAGAATCCAATAGTTTATCATTTATTTCAAAATCCTTTTAAGATGCACCAAAAATCACTATCGTAAATCATATATCGTGTAAATACTTTTAAGTATTAGTGTAGCAATATTGATTGCGCGTGTAAATAAACTTTCAAATACCAATAATTCATATAGCATATAGCTGCATAAAAAGCAGGGTAATGCAAGAATGCACGTGCTAGAATTTTGGATTGACAAATATTCATCGTGTTAAAACATGCAAATTAGACATTCAAGTGTTTTCTAAACCATGCAATCCTATAAGAAACTCAAAGAAAATCGAACCATTTACTCTGAAACTTAGTATAGGGGGCTAACCTAAGCCTAAGTCCCTAAGTATTTATACAGATCACCATGACCACTCACCAATGCAGCGGTATCGACAATGACGCTTCAACAAACAACTTCTTTCTCCTTCACCTCGCCACTTGAAGCTTCCCATGGATTAGGAGCTTCAAAGAAGCAACGAAAGGCACAAATACCATCATGTATCTATTGAAATTTCACTCCAAATGACTATCAAACATTAGTCCAAATTCATCTGATCAAATCAACAAAACAAGATTCAATTTGGTGATTTCCTGTCCAATCTAATATTGATCTTTAATCAATCTCTTCCAACACTTAAATATCTAATTAAGAAGTTAGAGAACACCTTTAATTATCATATTCAACATCAAAACCTAACTCAATTAATCAGGATCGAATTCTCAGAACTATGAACAATGCCTAATTTAGACATCCAAAATTAAAATGAAATGTCTTGAACTAATAATAAACGTTTTTTGTACTTATAAACCATGTGTTAAATCATCAAAAGACACTAATCTTCCATAGAAGAATTTTACTCGCACAAAAAAATCTAAAAACAAACCTTCAATTTTCGCACATATCATTCCATAGAATTGGGAGCATGACAAAAGAAGACTTGATCTTTAAAGGCAGAAACAGCAACCTATATGCCAAGGAAGAAGGAGAAAGTTTCCTTGATCAAAGAGGAATTTTATTTGGTGTAAAAAACCTTCAACGGACATCTTGGAAAACAATTGAATGTCTAATTTGACAGAAACATGTTACTACTATAATGCGCCATATCAACATTTCCCAACGGCATCGACTATGATGAAAACAAATTAAAAGCTTAACGGCTGCAATACAAGATTTAAAAGTTAGGTAACTAAAGTGAGTTTTTTTTAAAATTTAGTGACCACTAGTGAAGTTTACCCTAAGAACATTTTTTTTCAACAACAAAACAACGGGCCAACTCGGGCCCTTACCGGACCGAGCTCAATAAGGAGATTATGGATCGTGGGATGACTAGTTGACTACTACCTTTACCAAATGATAACAATCCATCCTTTAGAGGACCGGTCGGCCCTGCGCCGGTGGTCAGTCACAGTCGCGCACGTGTGATCAGTCGTTGGCCTATCCTTTCTCGTTTAATTAATTTTTCGATAAACTCAGGCCTTCACCGTCACAAAACTGACAGACACCCCATTCGGCATTATTAGCCTTCGATCTTTCCAACTTCAAACCTACGTAACTACTCCTGCTGTCACCGTCCTGTTACATTAGCACTCCCCTCCAAATTCGCTTCTTTCGTGGCATCGTCGTTCCCTTTCATCACAGCTCCGAAATTTTTTCGCCAAAATAGTAAAAACGAGCGTTAAGCTAAAGAGATCTGGAAAAAGATCAAAAGAAGAAATTAAAGAAAGAGGAAGCAGGTTTTAATGGCTAATTGGATTTCCTCCAAGCTCAAAGTCGCTGAAACTCTCCTTCAACAGGCAAGTTTTTTTTCCACATTTTTCATTTCTTTTCTTAATTTCGTTTTTTAATTGTCCATTTTGATTTCTTTTATGGATCTGGTTTCATGCCATTTCTTTTTCTTGAATTTTTTTTGAGGAAATAGAATATTAATTTGTTTTATAGTAGTTGTAACTTGTAATTGCATTATGTGATGGGCGGTTCAGATCGATCAGCAAGCGGCGGAGTCGCTTGGGAAGAATGAGAAGCAGTCATCTGATGAGGTTCAATTGGCCACTCCAACGAAACCGAGTGGCGTTGTATCTTTAAAAGATCAGTTAAAATATAAACCACAAGAAAATAATGATTGTCAAGGCAAATTGGTCAGTGATCCCATTGCTAATATACCTAGTAGTAATAATAATAAGAATGATAGTAAGAGAAATACTTCAGTTAATATTTTAAATGTGGAAAAAGAAGTTTCAAGCAAGTCGAAACCTAGTACCAAGCTAACCGATAGTGATTGGACTGAACTTCTTAGTACACCAAATCAGGGGACGAGTTCTAGTACTAACGGGGCATCTGGGATTCGTGGCTTGAAGAAAGATGCCAGGAAGAAAGGATATTTAGGGTCTCATTTGTCACCCCTGGAAGAGAAGAGGAAGCAAAAAAGTAATGTTGATGGCATTAAGTCTGTAAAGAGACCAGATGTAGTTTCGGGAAACAAGTTGAGTGATAAGCCAAGTAATGGTGAAGAACCGAGTGCTCCAGCAAGGCTGTCTAGCGCGGATAAACAAAATGATGGTAAGAATTCGGAGGAAATGAAAGATGCCACAGATGAAGAAAATGGTTGGGAATTGGATTCTAAAGACCTTCTGTCCAATGTGGAAGGGTTCACACATTCTAGAAACGAGAACCATTCGACCCAAAAGACGATGGAATTGAGAGAAGTTGATGTGGCACATGATGTGAAGATAGGAAAGGCTGATGCTCATGATCAGTTTAGAACCACTGTAAGAACTAGAAACTCCAAGTCCATTGGCCCATCTAAAAGTTCAGCCTTTGACGATGTAAAAAGAGCCTCTCAGACAACTAGTGATGCAAGCTCTGATTTGGATTCAGATTCCGGTTCAACATCCGACTCTGAAAGGGAACATGAGAGGGAGGAAAGGAGGAAGAGGAGGGAGAGGATTTTGGCTGAGCGAGCAGCAGCAAAAGCTGTGGAGGCTATCAAAGAAAGAGAGAATATGGTTGCCAAATTAGAAGGAGAGAAACAGAGCTTAGAGAAAATTCTTGAGGAACGAGCCAAACAACAAGCAAAAGAGGTAATATTTCATTTTTTTTACATTATTACATGCATGTGTTCATTTTTATTTCTTTCTTTGTTGAGGTTGGTAAGAAAAGTATTTTGTTCTGAGTTCTGACCATGGGGATTTGTTTTTCTCCAAAAATGACAAGGTTATATGCTTTGAAAATTAAATGGTTATAGAAATTTGTTGTTCACGGGAAGAACATGATGCATTACACTTTTCTTTGTAATGGGGGTTGGGTGATTAGGGACTGAAGGTGGTAGCGTACAATTGGAAACAAACAAAATCAATTCTGCTGGTGCCACCAAACAAATTCTGTGTATTGTTAAGAATAGAACATTTTACTTCTGTAGTGGCTACTCACCCCAATCGCTTTAACCCTCCTGTTTTCTTCTTTATAGAACCAGGTCATAAATTAGGGCACTACAAATTTAAATGTGTAGAAATCAGAGTAATTCTCTGTATTTTCATATTATTTTCAATAGGACAGATTACATATTTATATACAAATTATCTCTCTAAAGTAGAAAACACTTAAGAA